TGTGACATGCATAATACAAAATATTCTGACATTTTTTTCGGAGTTATCTCAGAAAAACTTTTATTGTACTACATGTAATTTTACAAATAGTGGCATCATTTTATTAAGAAACTGAAAGATCGCAATAAAAAGTTCATAAGACAAAGACAAATCGATTAATCTTTCTATTTAAAGCTTAAAGCTGTTAGAATTTATGTTGAGTTATGTACTTTTACTTCACTTTGTCAAAGAAGCATGAACAACTTGAGGAAGCAATGAATCTTCATTACTTCCCAATTGTAATGCGAATGCGCCACCCGTCTTTCCATGGGTGAATAAAGCTTTTGCCATATTTTCTTAAATTCGATGCAATCTTTTTCCATGCATTTTAGATATTTGAGAGATACTGTAACCTACCACATTCGGCACGATGGGATCCATCGGTGAGTCCCAACCTAATTAATCTACGCAATTTAATCGCATTCCATATAATATATCATTTTTAAAAACTAATCGAATAGTCTACCTTGTGCCGTTTTAAACGCTCTTTTTAGTGATATATTTGAAAGTTAATCTCGATCTTATTTTGGTGCAGAAAAACAGGATTTACTAAAGGTCTGCATAGCTTATACGCACCTGTTAAAACTCAGCTCTTTTTGCAAAGTGTGTTTTCGAAGAAAAGTATCTCATCATGTAGCGCATTCTTTTTTCTAGCGAATGGTGTAGGTCAAAAAGAATTTATGCAAGAATAGAAATAGGATGAGACAGGAGAAATATCAATGTGCATAGTTTTAACATCAAAACACGGTTAATTTCGACAAGAAAAATTGTTAAAATTTTACACATGGATTTTAGAAGCTGATTTTTGTAGGCGATAGATCGTCAACTGAGGAGTGTCTAACGATGATATCAGAAAGCTTTAAATACATCTGCAGCGATACGAAATAGCATTGAGTGACATCGACGATCTATAGAATCAAATCGTGCCAAATGTGTTATTTTGTCATAATTCAAAGTACTTTAACGATACTTTAGGGTAATTTCAAGTACTTTCTCGAAACTTCGAGCTACTTTAAGCTACTTCGAAGTACTTTCAAGTACTTTGAACTACTTTTGTACTTTGATGTAATTTGTCTACTTGAAGTCCGCTGTTTCCCCCTTGCTAAAATACCTTAACATAATATAGGCTGCATAAAAGAATCATATTTCAAGTTTGAAAACATTTATCTATTGTTTGCTATTTTTGTACGAACTTAATGAAAAGACAAACAGAAGAAGAACATACATGGGATGTTTTTGTAAAGAAAAAGAAGAAAAACACACAAAAAGATCACAATATTATATTAACCATTTGTTATAAAATAGACAAACAGTCTCATGACGTACTGTATATTCTTTATTGTAAAAGATCATGTACGTCTTTCATAGACAATGATTCGATTGATAAGGGGTTGTTTTTTGTTCAATAATCACAAGATTAATTAGTATATTACGATTACAATAGTAATAATAAGAAGAAGCATAACCATCAAATCAAAACAGTTCTTTATCATATAATAATAATGGATACATGTTCATCGAAATTTCTTCAACTCAGAGAAAAAAACAAACAATTAAATATTAAGAAAAATTTCTTTCCCTATTTCAGTTTTAGCTGAATCATCATAAGATAAAAGTCTCGCATAAGATGTATAATGTTCAAACCATGTACTTCTATGAAAATCTATAATATGGAAGTTTACATGAGTCTATTGTTGATGAGTAATACGGAGCTATGTAAAGATCGCTAAAACAAAAACAAAATATTTTGCTTTTTCAGATGCTTTTTTTTGTTTTATAGTATATGTGTGAGTATGCATGGCCATGTGAGTTTTCTCGTCATCCACATCCATGCACACATTTTTTCGTCGGCATAAAGTTAATCATTGATCAAAAATGTTTGGTCCTTGAAGAAAACGGTTTCATAATCAGGTGGTTTTTTTTAAAATTCAGATCGACTAGTGATCATTACTACATAGTTACAACTCTCACTCAATTACATTCAAATACATTGAAGTTGGTTCGATTGCTTTTCATCATTAATTTTAATTCAAAAAAAAAAGCGAAGGGCAGCTTTTGTTATTATACGTGTTTATATATAATTACGAAGAAAAACAACGAAGAATTATTTTAATGGCTTTTTCAGTTCTCAGATTACAAACAATTGACAACATGAAAAGATAAAGGAACACTATGATGTTTTTGAATTGTTCGGTGATTATATACCAACAAATAGAATTAAACAAAAGATCTTTAAACAGTATATACGGTATATATCTTTTTTTTATCAGTACCTTGATTTCTTTAAACTCTACTGAAGTTTCCTAGCAGAATACTAACAAAAACTGCATTTAAGTTAAGATACTTAATCAAGTTGTCGTATCGATTACCATATGAATTTTATGGCAACTACAGGGTGTGAGTGTTCGTTATCAAAGGAGAACCCACACTCCACGCTCATTCTTACAAGAGTTATTTTGAACAATATTTTTCTTCTTACTATATTCATTCATCTATTCAGAGTTTTATATTTTCTATATAAGAAATATTTTATGATTGTATGTTATTTTGACAAGAGGATTAGAGCTAATTATTCCGTTCATTATTTATATTGATACCTACCAACGATTTCTTTTTGTCCTCCAGGTCGCACGAGCACGATCTTATACAGTGATATACTGAGTGAATACGGTCGTTTTCAAGTATATACGAATTTTGTATGCTCCCCTCCGAGCTCTTATGACATTTGAGAATAATGAAAATGAAAGTCAAAATACTGAATAATGTATTAAGCCATGCAAAGTATATAGCTGATTTTATTCGTCAAGAAAATGAGCTGCGCATATTGATGTTTAGATAGTGGATCCTTGAAAAAAACATGTCAAATGCATTACTCTCGCATAATTCTTGTTTGCACGTAAGAACCTATATCTCCGAGTCGTTTTTCAGTACAAGACAGCAGAAATAGCGACCAATATATGATAACATGTTGTTAAGCACAGTTATTCTTCTTTGATATTCCTCATCTATACCATTTCCTTCCTGTTATACATACAAGAGAAAGAAACGAAAAAGATTGGCAGAGAAAAGAGGAGAGAGAAGTTGTTCTTAGCAATTTTTCTATCCACATCAGGCATTATTTGTTCTGTCAGATACCGAGTAAGCAAACTGAGAGTAAACCACATTGGTTGAAATAGTTGGAGGTCACAAAAATTAATGGCGAGAAGACACAAATATGGATATCGGTCGTCCGTTTTTCTCTCTTGTATTCTATGTTGGTAAGAGAGAGTCATTAATTTTTTCTTTTTCATCGATAGTGTCTGGTTTTTTTCTCCTTGTCGTCGCTATAAATAACATGCTCGTCTTATGATAAGTTATCATTCGGTACTTATTTTATTCCTTCTTCTTTCATCATCAACGCAAAGTTAGACGGTTAGTTTTTTGTGCATATTCATTTGGTAACACAGCAAAATGATTTCCAAGTACAATATATTGCTTGTATCAGTCGTTCTTATGGCAATTTTATGTTGTTGGGCGACGACAAGTGTCGATGAACAATCAATTGATGGCAAAAGAAATGTTTCAATGATGGGAGACTATGAAGATAACCATGTTAAAAGCTTAAATGAACGGTAGATAGAAAGATTTTTTTTTAAATATTTTTATTTTTTTAAAATTTTTTATAAATAGAAATGGAAAATACTTTAATTATCTTCGTCTTCCAGATGGTGAATGCCATAATTGTTCAACATACAAATGTACCGATCATAAGTCAAATATGGGTGGTTCGGAATGGTGTATCATGTTATTTCCTGATGCTCTTGCTCACTGCGATTCTGATCCAAATTGTGGTGGATATACAATGACAACAGCCGAATGGTTTCACACAAAATACGATAAAAATGGACAAGTAGCCGTTCATTTAGCTAAATCTAGTCAAAAACCTATTGCTTGTTCATTATCCGAATGGAGCAGTTATGACAAACAAAATACTATTCGTAATACTCCTGTAATTTACGGAAGATCAACATGTGGAAATGAGTCAGTAAACCGAATTACATAGATTCGTAATTGATTTTCTCATAATATATATATTTAAATATATTCTTTCTTTCTTAATAGAAATCAAAATACATGTGAAAAGTCACAAAATTTTAACTATGTATTTGTTAGCAATTCAAATGCGGTTGAGAGTACTTCATCATACTTGTGCTACAATCATCCCAATAGACTCGACAATAAGGATCGTAATTGCATTTTACCAGTTGCCGATGGTGTGACACTTTGCAATTCAGATGATCAATGTGAAGGATTTATGGTCAATACAGATGACAATTGGCAAAAGAAGTTTTCAAATAATGGAATGCAATCAGTACAATTATTCGGAAAAGGTGTTACATATACACCAAGTGAAACATGGCGTAGCTTCAGAAAACAACATTAATTACTTTGCATTGTTTTTTTTGTTTGTTTTTCTATTTAGACACGCTGTGACGTTTTCTTATTTAATACAGCGTGTAGACAATATCATGCATGCTATTTACTGAAAAATATTATCTCAGACAGTATCGACGATTGATTCGATTTGTATATGAATAGTGTTGGCCATTTATCGGCTATTTCTTTCTCTTCATTCTCATTATCCAAGCAAAAATTATACATTTAAATTTTTAGGAAGAAATACAAAATAGATAAAGCGAAAGAAGAAGATCAAGTGCATTTTATATGCTCCAAGAAGGTTATACGTTATGGAATAAAACTGATGGTCTACTACCTAAAAATCAGTATTAACCCACTCGGCATACATCTTAAGAGAGACATCATTCTTGGTAATTTACTTTTTCAACTCAATTCCAATTCATACCGAATAATATATACATGATTTCTTAAATTGTGTAAGTTTTCAGTGCATGTATCAGTTGTAATACTGCGGCTTATCCAAATGTAACGCTGTTACGTTTTTTACACACTTTTTTTTGATTATCCTGGAAAGCTTGAGAACTACAAAGTTCGTTCAAATGACATTCGACACAGCTTATCATAATCTATTTATGCCATATGAGTAACCTTTTTTGACTGAATTCTGACGCTTTTAGGAAGGTTTTGTCATCGCATAACGCTGTTACATAGAAAAAAATCCTTTTTCTTCAAGGTCGCTAATAAAACTCTAATTTCTTGTGAAAGTATTTCTCCAAATGAAACACTTCATGAGGAAGTTTTGTAGAGCTTCTAGCAGGCTTTTAAAAAGGTAAAAACGATTTTCTCTAAACTATTTTTACTCAGATAAAAACTGCAAAAAAAACAAACGTAACACTGTTACACTGTTTTTTGGCGATAAATTTTGAGACACTTAATGTATTCCGTTATATATTTGAGTTTCATAAATATTGGTTATTGTCGTACATATAATCGTTATACGCAAGAGTCAAGTTGCTACAACAAAACAGGAGCTTATTAACTGTACAGAAAATTGGAAACTGTTCAAGAATGTACATGTTTTTTCTTAGCGACAAAATCAAAAACAAATAGATCGTTTTGTAGAGAATTAAATTCTGCATCGAATGATATGTGACTCGGTATTTTTTGAAAAGTATTCCTTGCTTAGAAAATTCAAAATACGATTTTTGAAAAGTTTAAAACTCAGCTTTCGATACTCAACTCCAATTACTTTCAGGAAAAAAATGTCAAATTCATAATCAACGTAGAAACTACATCTAATAATGTATTTAGATTTGTCTATCTCGAAAAAAAAATTTTTCAAAGATTTAATCAGCGAAGTATCGTATTACATGGACAAGCCGACTAAAATAAATTTATTCGTCATTGTCTGTCCAGAAAATGTTCATTTTGAAAAATATTTTGGAAAACAATATTAATTGTAACATTTTTATTGTTACTAAACTGATGTTTAAAAATTTACAAGTAAATGTTATATTTTCAGTTCTTAAATGGATATCATCATCAAATATGATTAACAATAAATCTTCATTAATTAATGTAAATGGAAGAAATTAAAATAAATATTTGAAATTAAACAATAATGATACTCATGTTAAATATTAAAATGTGATATTTATTTCTACTTTTCAATATATATTTCTTTGAAAAAAAAAATTTATCTTTAAACAAATTCGTATTCAATTTATTTATTTCGATATGAAAATTAATAATATAACGGCAAAATTTAAAATAATATATTGACGATAGTCATTGAAGATTTTTTATTGATCATGTCTAATCCTGACAATCAAATATATTATCAAAATATTACATTTATTTGCAAATTTTTCAACATACATTGCTTGGTTATGATAAAATAATTCATTTTTTCAACAAATTTTTATTCTATTTATTTAGTTAGATTTTCATCGAATAATTATCGATATCGACGAACATTGTCTGATATTTAGAATATCGATCGATAAAAAGAATTCCAATAGGATCTTTATCAATGATAGACTCCTTATAGGATTTACTAATAACAACGAAAGACTTTTTTATTTATGACAACGGAGTGCAGCCTGATATCTTAATTTCTTTGATTTCTCTGACTTCGATTGATTTCTATCGTTGGAAATCAGTTTGTATCTGTTCATCATGAATCAATATAAATTATCGGAAATGCTTAGAAAAAAAAAGAGAAGTCACGAGAAATGATTTAAAATCAAGAGCAACCACAAGGAAGATTGGCAATTATTGAAAATCATTAAAATTAATAGAAATCAGGGATCTAATTTTTACTTTATTACTCAATTTTTTATATGATTTCGAGTAATTTTCATTATTTCTAATAATTTCTCATGGTTTCTAATAGCTTCTAATAGTTTCCGATAATTTTTAGTCACTTCCAATCTTTATTCGTATCCTTAATGCGTTAAAGTGATTTCTCATGATTTCTATCATAGAAATCAATTTGTTCCTCCTTAATTGATAATTTTAATTTCTGAATAATCAAGTCAAACTACGTCGTAACAGACTGAAAATCCAGCTGAATATAAACAACACATATTATTATTAATTTTCTATAAAGAAACAGCAATGAAAATACATAACAATCAATGAAGTTTTCTTTCTTCGTCAAAAAGAGAGATACTGCCTTGAAAACCTTTATCAGACAATACTGCTAAAATAACCTTTATACTATTCATTTCAAAATATAATGATCTCCGCTGTTTTTTCGAATAACTTTTCATGGGAAAATCATATAGATCTACAGTTTTCGTTACTTAAGAGAGAAGACTCGGAGTTATCGAAGTATTTCGAATTTTATTTTGTCAACAGCTGACGAATCATGTGAGTTCTTGATTGGAGATTTTCGAAGATGATATTCTAAAGTTATTTCCCTTTCAATTAAGACTTTTGATAGGATTGATCGATAGAAAAAAAATCTTCTCTTTCGATCTACACAAGATCGATATTTATCAACTAAAATATATGAACACACTACATACAGAGTGTAAAGAAAG